CGTCGGGGTAGCGGCACGGCCTACGGCCTACCTGCCGCTTTTCCCGACGAGAGGAATCGATTGGACATTCCGTGAAGTGCACGATTGGGGCTCACTCCTCGCCAAGGCACCGCCTGCACAAAATTATACACACGACCTCCGCTACGCTGCGGTGCGCGCAATTTTGTGGGCGGATGCTCTGTCGTCGCTCGCTACTGTAAGGCGTGGTCGTTGTTGAAAAAAAAAGAGTTGAACGTGGGATTCGAACCCTCAACTTTTGGGTTTCAAGCCTATTACTGAAACCACTGGACGCCCACCAAAAATCTCGCAAGTGCTCTCGCATCCAAATTTGTGAGTCCGGATAACACATATTATTTTACATACGGGCGCGAATTGTTCCCATATGAAACAGCAGGCGCCACCAATATTCTCGCAAAATCAAAATGGTACATCGATATGACTGGATAGGAAGAGAATTTTCATCCAATCATATCACTTGCAGAAAGTACTGGAGGATGACAAGCATCGCTGCCGCCCTTCTGCTCTGTCGCATGCGACGTCGTCGTCGTCAAAAGCGGTTGTTGCAAATGCGTCTCGGTGGAAGTCTACGTGAGGGGAGTGCTATTGAGTCCAGGGCCCTCATCAAGCATCAATCGGATGCAGCGTGGTACACCATGTACGAGTCGCGCAGTATTATTGCCACGGTGTCGATACCACCGGACGACTTTGATGACCTGCTTCGTGTCTTTTCTGTCCACTACACAGTCTGTTCCAGACCTGGGCGTCGTGGAAGGCCGCCGAGAGTGCAACAGAAGCATGCTGTCCTCGCAATGCTCCTCCATTATTATACGGCTGCTGTTGAGCACAAAACATTACAAGAGCTTTTCGGTGTGTCGCCGACTACATTCTCCCGTGTGTTGCGTCGAGCAGAAGTGGCGCTGGACCGTGCATTGTCCCACATGCAGGATGCTGTTGTTCGCTGTCCATCAAAGGCCTTGCAACGGGACTGGGCTATCTTGACGAACGCAAAGGAACCCCTCGTGGATGGTGTGTTTGCCTTTGTGGACGGCAAAAACTATCGTGTGCAAAGTCCTTCCAACACAGACCTGCAAAATGCCCATTACAACGGTATGCTCACTGTGACTGAGTGTGCTAATTGCTTTGATAGGGTGGCTGCGTTGTTTTTATGTGACGGGATGTCTGTGTTTCGGTGTCGATGGCACTTTGATTTGGGCTCGCCACAACTGCCCAGGCTCATGGAACGATGGCGAGGTCAGCCGTCACCTCCAAGCACGTGTGTCTGACGAGCGTTTTGTTGCTCCGGGGATGAAGATTGCCTCCGATTCGGCATTCCCTGTTAGTGGTCGCTGCTCAGGTCGAATTATCACCCCACTGAAAGAAGGTGACCTCGATCGCAACC